GAGCCACCACTGTCCCCGGGGGATCGTCTTCCGACACCGGCAGGGAAAGTGAAGTCACGGCCAGCTCAGGCGCGTTATCGTTCACGTCTAAAATTTCCACCAAAATAGTGCATTGTCCGACCATTGGAGGATTACCTCTATCCGTAGCCTGAACCCGAACTTCATATAAATTAGTGTCTTCGAAGTCCAATTCTCCGTTGACTCTGATCTCTCCTGTGTCTGGAAGTAGGCTAAACACGGCACTTCCGCTGTGTGTCGCACTGCCGCGTATCGAATATATAATATCTTTATTAATTCCATCATCCAAATCTGTGGCGTTGAGTTTGATGACTAACGTCCCATTAGCTGCATTTTCGAACAATCGGGTCTTATAAACTGACTGATTAAATACAGGCGCGTTATCATTCACATCCAGCACCGTGATCACCAGCTGAACTGTGCCGGTGAGCCCCGGCTTGCCCCCATCAGTAGCAGTGAGTAATAAACGATGCATAGGGGTTTCCTCTCTGTCCAGTGGTTTTTTCAATACAAGAACTAAAAACGCACTGTCTTCGTCGTTCTTTTGCAAGTCTAGAATGAAATGTTCACTTGAGCTGAGTTTATAGGTTAGCAGAGAGTTTGTACCAATATCTCCGTCAGAAGCGCCCTCTAGTGGGAAACGTGAGTCTGGCGTTCTCGATTCTGAGAGACGCAGTTCTTCATTTACAGGGAACACAGGAGCATTGTCATTTATATCCTGTATCTCCACTTCCACGTGAAATATCCTTAGGGGTTTGTCCACTATCACCTCCAGGTCAATGGCGCACAGGGGGCTCTGGCCGCACAGCTCTTCCCTGTCTACTCGTGAATTAACAAACAAAACGCCGTTCTGCAAATTTACCTCAAAATAGTCTCTTCTGCCGTTGGAGACCATCCGGAACATCCGAGGCACCAGCTCCGCCACCTCCAGCCCCAGGTCCTGGGCCAGGCGGCCCACAAAGGTGCCGTGTTTGGATTCCTCCGGCACGGAATAAGTTAACGGACCTGGCCGCTGCCCACCTCCCAGGCCGTGTGTAACAGAACCAACCGCAGCAGCTGCCTGGTTACCAGGGAGTCTCGCCGGAGAAGAGCCATTGCGGACACGGGGCGGTTCTCATTTATAAATCAGTGACTTGAACCGCCTAATTCCGTATGAATATCGTGATGCGGGATCTCTGAAAGTAATTTCATTTAAATCCAGTCCTGACACATCCGGGAGCCCGCCTGACGCGCTGACAGGCAGGATTTTCAGTACTTCTGAGGGAGGAGCTGTGTGTTTCTTTCCTGTTAAAAAGCCTTTTTAGGCGACAGCGACACCTTGTGTCTGAGACCTTTCCATGCTTTAAATATACAGATTAATATAACAATGCACGTAATCCTTACAGTTTTCTGACGTTCTTTTTCTTTACAACCTATCCGAAAGATACTATTAGCTCTACGTCTTAACGTACTTTGTTTGGAAATAATTAATTGGTAGAATATGGAGATATCCTGATCTTCTCTATATAGCCGAACGAGCAAAATAAATATGGGATACCTTAACCTTGGAAAATTGTCTTAATGTTTAAAACACAGACTTCTGGTCTAACATTGCACGTTTTTATTAAGTGTGCTACAGGGGAGAGTCAAGCATTGACTGGTTAGCATATGATAATATTTTCCTATAGCCAAATAATATTATGAAACACAGTAAAGATTTTAGGCCAAAATAGTTATTTGTGGTAAGCTATTGTTGCCTTTAAATCTTTGAATAACATTTTAAAACCTGATTCTTTACTTTTAAAATGCTGTCATAAAATCCCTTTCTAGTGACTTATAAGCTCATATACTTTATATCTCTACATGTCTATAGACACACTGTGTACCTATAACAAACAACAACGCGCGGAGTCCTTGTGGCAGCTTAGAGACTAACGAATTTATTTGGGCATAAGCTTTCCTGGGCTAGAACCCTATACACACACACACATACACACACACATACACACACTCAATCAAAACATGTGGAAAGACGTTTAAGGGTAGTGAAACACTCATAACGCAAGCAACCTAGATTTGGTTTTTGGTTATTTGATGTGTTGTGAATGAAGCAATTGTTCAATATTTATTTTTATCCTCAGAGTTCATTGACCATCCTGTGCAAGGAGGAAGACAGACACTTTCTGAACCTCTGCCTCATACATTTCACAACCCTGCCTCTTTCTCCATCCAACTTGCACAAAGAAGGAGACAGTGGCCTGAAGAAAAACTTTGTTATAATGTAACCAAAAATTATATTATAATGGTTACATACATGGCTCAGAACTAAAGTTGTGTGGGACCCCTTAACTTCCACATTTCCTGACTTTTCAGGGATTCTTTGGCAACCTTACCATTCTCGTGGAATTCCCTAGGTGTCTAAAAGACAAATAATATAGTAAAGAAATGCAATCATATGGAACTATTTGTTGGGCAGTAGTAGAATGGTCTGTCTTTCAAAATACCTGAACTCAGTAAGGGATGGGCTCCTCTGAAACCCAGCCTCCATGAGTGCAAAGTTGCCTAAGGAGCCCTGGCTCATTCAGTGTAGAGAAATAGATCCTATTAATAGATAGATATAATAAAACATGGCTGAAACCTTTCATACAACATATGGAATGAGACAGGCTCCTTTAGAGCTTTGCTTCCTTCAGTGTTCAACTTCACAGATCATACTCTACATACCATCCACAGGTAAAATGTGAAATTCCTCTCTACTTTGCATAGAGCCAGTGGAACACAGCGAGTCCTTATATTAAAGTGAATTTCCACTCAGCTATACGTGACCATATACACAGTGCCAATACAGACCATTAAAAGAATTATATACAACAAAACAAAACAAAACCCAAACACATTAAAACACTGCACATGTGCATAGTGTACTTTAAACTGATTTTAACTGATCAAAGCTAAGAAGACTTTTACCAGACCACTGAAAGACATATCTGATGCCTAAAGCTTACCTCTTAGTCAGATTTTAAGTTTTTACCACCCCCTGCTTAGACACTACAGCTGTTCAAAAAATGTCACAACAGTTTTCTTAATTATGGCAAAATATATTTTTAATTCTCTTTTCATTTGAAAATAGCTAAACCATTTTTGATCTTTCAAAAAAGAAAATGTGCTGAGACCAAACTTCCAGAATTTCAGTCCCTGAAGTAAAGTTTGGGGAAAACATAAGCAGTCAGAAAAGGTCTTAGAGCATGGAAACAAATATTTTAGGTTAATTTATATATAGGTGTTGCTACATATTCCATCTATTATATGTAAACATATCTCCATAAATTGATATATGTATATAACAGGTGAAGAAGGTGTATGGTGAAGGCTTTCTGAGGGCATTTTAACTGATAGGTTTTTTTTTTTAAAGCACCACTATTCTTTTTAAAAATGCATTGAAAATGTTTGCACTTAATTCTAAAAGTATTGGGTACCTTTGTCCTCTTTTGCTACAAATGAAATCATTAGACTTTTGGGGTATGGAAGGACTGCAAGAGCAGACCCCATTAAGGCTTTGCTCCAGCAAATCACTTAAAAACCCAGTTAGCTTTAAGCATGTCAGCGAATCTACTCAAGAGTTTAGTGTTCTGCTGGTTGGGGCCCATATGCATAAGGAATTCAGCACATTAAAATGGCTCTCCAAACAAAAGGTATTAGAGCCAATTTCTATCTCCTCTTGGTGCCAGAAAAGCATGTGGCCATCTGGTCAGGTCCAAAAGGAGGTATTTGGGTAGCTTGATAACTTCTCTCAAGGAGTATGGATAACTGTCTGCCTCTTCCATTGGGATAATAAGGGTATCTAGCCACCACTTGAGGCAATTTCTCTGCATTTCCATACTGCATGTCAATAACATTGTCACTTGTGATTATAACCCTCCAATGTATAACACCACGAATCAAAAACATCTATGGAACAGCGGAAATCACACATTCTTAACCATCAAAAAAGTTATTGCCTCCATCCAACAAATAAAAATAAAATAAACATGCCAAAATGTTCTCTTTACTATGTTTACTTAATTATTTTTATTTTTAAATCCACATTGCAATTCTTTTAAATATTCTAGGATAAAGTACTCAGTTGTGTTATTTTTAAACACAATTTTCATTGTTTTAAGCAGAAGATATCTCACTCTTAGAGGCCATCTGCTGATTTGCACAGAAATGGGACTGGAAACAAATAAGAAAAGGCAATTTTCTTTTAAAGTTGTGTTATTTTCAGTATTCCAGCATCCATTTCTATGGAAAAGAAAGCAGACATGAAATCTAGAAACAACTGAAAGTGACTCAAGGAAAGTGAAAAGAAATTAAAGGCAGTAGAACCCAGCCACTGCGTTAATCACATTAATCCCAATTCTTAAACAAATCAGTTCAAATGTGGGGGAAAGGAAATCAATTATAATATATGGTGTGAAATCCCAGCTCCATTGAAGTCAAAGCAATTGACTTCAATGGAGCCTGGATTCCCTCTATGGTGTTTAGTCTTATTCTTGACAAATTACACATATATTTGTTCACTTAGCTGTCCCTTATCAGGAAGAAAAGACCTTCCAGGTGGTGGAAACCTGTTTTACAGCTGCAATAATACAGCTATAATAATTTTACAGCTGCAATATTACAGTTGTAATAATACAAAAGTAAAGGGAAAAATATATCTAGTTTAAGATCATCCATAAGAAGTAAAAGCAAGGTCTATACGTGTCTGATATATAGGTAACTGGCACAACCAGTATGTTTCTGTTAGTGTATCCTGTCACCAAGGATTATGACTTTGGGAATAAAACGTTGATGAATATAATACTATAATTACAGGATTTTGATGCTTACATTGATTCACTGGAACTTTGTGCGAACTAACATATAATAAAATGCTTTATGATGATAGCTCAAAAAGAAAAACATTAGAAATTCTCATTTTCTGTAAAATACTTCTGTGCTGCACTATAAAAAGAAGAAACATATTCCATGTAATGAGAGAGAAAAAATGAGAAGGGGCCAATGACACCACCCATGTTTGGGAGGAAATCCAAGGAGAAGAAGGATGAACTTCTGGATAAAGCACGACTGGAAATCCAGAGATGTGCGCACTCATGTGCCTAGATCTACCACAGATTTTCCTAGTCTTGGACAAGTCACTTCACTGCTCGAGTTCCCGTTTGCCGCATCAATAAACGGGATTAGTTACATATACTTCACGGGGGTATTAAGAGGCTAAATTAACTGGTGAAATTCACCTTAGTGCAGAAGGCCACTGCAAGGTGACATGCATCTTTTAAACGATATTGTGCGGCTTAAGTGGAATTAAGGGTACATCGGTTTTGTGCTTGCCCTCTGCACCTGGCGTGAGTTTCACCTTTAAAGCGGGATTTAAGTGTCAAGGTTCTTTGTACTGGGATGAAATTCACACTAATTCTCTAAAGTGCATTGACGTCCTTTGACGGAAGGTACTAGGGAAGTTAAAAGTTGTATTATTACAGAAGTTGCAATAATAACTGCAATCATTATAATCAGCGATCAGTGTTATGAGGGATGGAATTGAGAGTGCCTCACAATCGACATATCAAGAGCAATCAGTGATGGAGGTTGCCTGATAAATTTTTGAAGGAATTTATTCCCCCGCAAAGAAAATGTCTGACCCCATTGTAAGGATATTTTGACCCGAATATTAAAATGAGACATTGCTGATAGCAGGGTAAACCGTGGAGCTCATTCTACATTTTAAAAATAAATTGCTTATAACACTGTATAAAAATAGCCATACTATTCCAGTCTTCTCTTTGTACCCCTTGTACATTTGTATGTTTCATAAAGAGGAATGTAATCATATCACAATAAAAACATAAGAACGGCCACATTCCGTCAGATGAAAGGTCCGTGTAGCCCAGTATCCTGTCTTCCGACAGTGGCCAATGCCAGGTGCTTCAGAGGGAATGAACAGAACAGGCAATCATCAAGTGATCCCTGTTTCCCATTCCCAACTTCTGGCAAAGTTTAAAGCACTGACATCACCCATCATCAAAAAACATGAAAAGACAATTCTAAATCACAGCCTCTGTACTATCAATATTTTTCATTATCTGAACTGTGAATCTTATGAGAAAAGCAACTTTTAATATTGTGCTTTAAGGTCAAAATATTGATATTAAGTATCTCACACGAACATGGGTTTCCAGATACGTGAACATTATTAACACCTGTCGATGAAGTCTGAAGATTGTTATTTCAAAGGCCCCTTAAAATACTATTGGGAAACATTTATAGGCTAATGGAAAAGTGATAAGGGGATGAAAAATATAAAGAGAATTCACAGATAAAATAAAGTTCAAACAAGTATTGCTATATTCTTTGTTAATACAAACTGAAATCACTACAAAGATTACCTATTCAAAACCGCTCAGCAAGAGGGAATGATTCCATACCCAGGACTTTCGCTACATACACACCACATTTATGGGGAAAATACAAGTCGTTTAATATTAAAAATACCATATAGAACTTCAAATCCACACCCAGACACTACTAGCATATTTAGAAAAATTTTGTTCAGTTACACAGAAGTTACAAGCGTTCTGGAGGTGCAACAATCTTTCACTAACCGTTCCATAGACTTGGGACGCCATCTCCTGCTGTTTCAACTTCTCCCCGTTCTCTGCAGAGTTAGGAAAGTTGGGGCTGAAAACCATGAGGTCATTCTTGGCGGTGCCTTCCCCTACACACAAGTTCCGGCTCTGGCGCTGGGAATAGGACCAACTCCCCACTTCGCTCGAGCACACCACGGTGGCTTTCCCAGGCCCGCACATCACTGCCGGACCCGGGTGGCATCTCAGGCCAACGTACACGACAATCACCAGCACAAACAGCCCGGACACCGAGCAAATGCCGATCATTAAAGACACGTTCATGTCAACCAAGGGCCCTTCGATCCCGCCCCTTG